GAATTCTGAGGCAGTAGGAAATTAACAGGATTTTAACGTGAAATCCATACATCACGTCGACGAGCGTGGAGCGGCTAATTATCAAACGACAGCGTGCACACTGTTAATGTATATACAGCACAGCACGTATTGTGTTTTCGCAAGCACGATTAATCTGCAACCTGGACAATCCGCCCGCGGATAATCGATGAGCAACAACTGGCGAGCTGCTTGCCACGCAGCGCTCGCGTTCTGTCCGCTGAGCACGCATGCCCAGCGGACGGGCCACGTGTACCATATTCGCACGCACGCATGCATACACAGGAACGCTCGCACGCACATACAAATGCACGTACGCACGGGAACGCACACACACACACACGGAAACGCCCATACGTGAACGCACGTACGCACGCACGTACGTACAAATGCACGCAAGCACGGGAACGCACGCACACACACACACGGAAACGCACACACGTGAACACACGCACACACACACACACGGAAACGCACACACGTGAACGCACGCACACACACACGTGAACGCACACACGTGAACGCACGCACACACACACACACGTGAACGCACGCACGCACACACACACGGAAACGCACACACGTGAACGCACGCACACACACACGTGAACGCACACACGTGAACGCACGCACACACACACACACGTGAACGCACGCACACACACACACGGAAACGCAAACACGTGAACGCACGCACACACACACACGGAAACGCACACACGTGAACGCACGCGCGCGCACTGCCCCGTCACGCGGCCCGCACGTGCGCGTCTCGCAGCGCCAGCTCACCGAGCGACACGTGGGAGATCCATCACCAACCGGGAGGGGGTGCGGGGCAGGCGCCAGGTTTGGGGAGAGTGGGGGGCAGAGGATGAATTGAGCCTTGGGGTAGAATGCTGGGATAGTTTAGGCGGGGGGGGGGGGGTGTGCATGCTCGTGAAGATTTTACTGTGGCCGCTGTTGCTGCTTTGCCAGCGCATGAACTGACACAACACACACCTGCGTGTATTTACATGCACGGCAAGTCCTCACTTGCCGCGTGTTCACACTCGAACGCGTTTTTGCTATAATGTGCTTCTTCCATTAGGGAACACTTTTCGCGCATCCCGGAACGCGCGACCATTATAACGCGGAACGCGCACCGCTATAACGCGGAACGCGCTCCGCTATAACCCCAAATGTGCACCGCTATAGCTTCTGAATGGTTGACGACGAACTACTTTTTTTTCTTTTTTTTTGGTTCTTTCGGTGAAGTCACGTAGAATGGAAATAATAAAATAATAAAAATTAAATATATTTCTCACGACGTTAATTATGTTTTATTTTTATTATTTTCTTATTTCCATTCTACGTGACTTTACCGAAAGAACCAAGAAGATGAATCCCTGCAGTCACGAAAGCTTTAAATCGAGACGAACTACTTTCTTGAGCTGTGCGGCTGAGTGGCACGATACAGTTCGCGCAAACGACACGGCAGCGCGGCGGCGTGCCCTCAGTTACTTGTCTCGCCATCTTACTGCGCGTGCGTAGTCGTGCATCGTGTCTCTCTGAACGTTACCGTTACATTATTCATGGCGAAACTGTTTCTCTCCGAATGCGTTTTTCGCTTCACGCGGCGATTTTCGGGAATGCATCTCCCGCGTTAAAACGACGACTTACTCTACGTACGTACACACGCACGCGCGCGTGTGTGTACTTACTCTACGCACGTACACACGCACACGCGCGTGTGCGTGTGTACTTACTCTACGTACGTACACACACACACGCGCGCGCGTGTGTGTACTTACTCTACGTACGTACACACGCACGCGCGCGCGTGTGTGTACTTACTCTACGTACGTACACACGCACGCGCGCGCGTGTGTGTACTTACTCTACGTACGTACACACGCACGCGCGCGCGTGTGTGTACTTACTCTACGTACGTACACACGCACGCGCGCGCGTGTGTGTACTTACTCTACGTACGTACACACGCACACGCGCGTGTGCGTGTGTACTTACTCTACGTACGTACACACGCACGCGCGCGCGCGCGTGTGTGTGTGTGTAGGCGTGCGTGTGTGTGTGTAGGCGTGCGTGTGTGTGTGTAGGTGTGTGTGTGTAGGCGTGCGTGTGTGTGTGTAGGTGTGTGTGTGTGTAGGTGTGTGTGTGTGTAGGCGTGCGTGTGTGTGTGTGTAGGCGTGCGTGTGCGTGTGTAGGCGTGTGTGTGTAGGCGTGCGTGTGTAGGCGTGCGTGTGTGTAGGCGTGTGTGTGTGTGTAGGCGTGCGTGTGTAGGCGTGCGTGCGTGTGTGTGTGTAGGCGTGTGTGTGTGTGTAGGCGTGTGTGTGTGTAGGCGTGCGTGTGTGTGTGTGTAGGCGTGCGTGTGTGTGTGTGTAGGCGTGCGTGTGTGTGTGTAGGTGTGTGTGTGTAGGCGTGTGTGTGTGTGTGTAGGCGTGCGTGTGTGTGTGTGTAGGCGTGCGTGTGTGTGTGTAGGCGTGTGTGTGTGTGTAGGCGTGTGTGTGTGTGTAGGCGTGTGTGTGTGTAGGCGTGTGCTGGCTTTGTCGACAACACGCCTTCTTTCCTGGCTTGGGCGTCGCGGGATGTTTATCGATTTGTCTGAGTGGCTCGCAGGCGGGCAGCGGGGACTCCCACGATGGGAGCCTCCATTAGAGATACACCCGAGTCCATTACCACTGACTGACCGCTGGAATTCGGCGAAGTCTAATGGCAATTGTTTTTTATGATAATAATAATAATACAATGTCTCGCTTGTTTATTTAAACCTTTAACTAAAATATATGTTAGGTGATTTATAATTTCGGGATAGCAACATAATAATAATGCTGTGGTGGGGTGGAGTGGTGGTATAGTGCTTAGGGCAATGCAGACGTGATTATCCCAAAGGGTTTAAATCAGTGAGACCCCCAACTGAAAAAACCTTGGGAAACCATTTTGGTAAATACTAAATAAATAAAAAAGATTTCTCCCAATATTTTCACGCAAACAGCAATAAAGAAAAATCGCCAAATTAAACTTTAGATGTAGAATAATCTCGGGGAGACGGCGAATTAAGTCATGGGGACAATCTGAACAACTGGCTGCAACTCGAAGTATCTAATGCCAAGTCCTTGAGTACATGTATATCACGTGTATATATATAGTATCTTCAAGTTGCGGTCCCAAACGACGCCCCTCTGAGTGCATTCGTGCACGCAGACATTGAACTGTCATGCACTGCAGTTGGCAAGGACGAGTCCACTTGTGGAGAAACGAAGGGGGGTTTACTAAACGAGCTTGCAAAGCCGCAATAGGCTAATGCCAACCGCCGCTCGGTGAACTCCCCCATAATTAATGAAATAACAAATAACAACCTTGAATAGTTATTAATTTTCCCTCTTGTTCCTCACAGCAAGGGTACGATACCGAAGACTAAAACCGAAGTATGGAGAAAGAAATCGCATGGCCCCGGTGGTAGCGCGTTCGCTCCTCGTTGCAAATGTTCGCGGTTCAACTCCAGCAGGCCGCCCTGGTTATGACTGCGAGCGTATTCACAACGAAAGTCACTGAGCGCCGTCGGCTTCACAGTGAATGTATCTGCTACGAGCAGGCCACGGTGTGCCGGAGTCATGGTCCACGTTATCTAGATTCAAAACTTTCCCGCTGGTTGCTCAATGGGGATTACGCACAGCAGCGATCATCGCCGCCCATTACTGCCGGACTGATGCCCACTTGCAGGCCAGGCGTCGAATCGCCGCTGGGGGTGTCCATTAAAATGTGTTGAGACGCGAAGCGATCTAAGTCGCGTATACAGCGCTCCGAGATGCCCTCGGCTTAAAGGAGAGTGGCTCTATCTAACACAAATCATTTCAGTGATTATTAGGCGTTCACATATTCCTTCTGGGGGAAGAAATAATGGTGGAACCAATATTCCTTTCGCCTATTTGTTCCCAACGTTCTTCCGTCAGCTGCACGGGAGTGGGGCTGGTGGAGGAGTGCGCGTCCAGCCGGGAAGAGCTTTGCGATCGATGCCCGATGGGGAGGGGGGTGGGATGTCAGACTCTCGCAACCACGGACTCTGGAGGAGGAGACGCTAATGCCAACGCGTCTCTCGGCTCTCCTGCTGAGCCGAGTGCTTTAGGGAAGAGATGAAGGGAATATTTATGCCGTGTCGAGCTTTTAAGACGTGGTGATGTTTTCCGGCTGAACCAGCAGTTAATTGATTATTTTAAGCGCGTAGGCTTTCGCGACCAATGTTCAGATTCATTATTGATATTTGGGTCAGATCGGATGAGTATATTGTGTGTCGTTCACCCTCCTCCACCCGACAGAATGTTTTCCAATTGCCTGACATGCTGGTCTTAACTACCAATGAAACGTGGTACCCAATTGCCGTGTGGATCGCGAACAAGCGCACCAGTGTGCCGAAGCGGTGCTAAATGGGCACGCTAATTCACGTGACAACTTTATTCATTGGTTGTGTCGGATGGAGGAGGGTTGTACGACACGACATTTTACTCACGTGATCTGACGCGAAAATCATTTAGGAATGTTATCCATACTCTTTGGTTCTTTCGGTAAAGTCACGTAAGAACCAAAGAGTATGGATTCCTGCAGTCACGAAAGCGTCACATCATTTCGGAATGTTATCCTCTTCTTCTTGGTTCTTTCGGTAAAGTCACGTAGAATGGAAATAATAAAATAAAAAAATAAAACGTATGTCAATTATTTTATTATATTATTTTATTATGTTTTATTTTTATTACTTTATTATTTCCATTCTACGTGACTTTACCGAAAGAACCAAGAAGATGAATCCCTGTAGTCACGAAAGCTTTAAATCGGAATGTTATCCTCTTTATTTTGTTCGTTAGCCTTTTACGTTCGCGGCTACGCATCGGATTCACAAAGCGGCTAAACGCAGCTGCTGCTTCTCAAAGGCTTGTCTGCTTCCCGCCACGCGAGGCGTTTGCGGCACCTGCGTGCTGTTGGCGCGGTACCTGCGTGCTGTTGGCGTGGCACCGGTGCGTCCCTGCGAACCAGCCGGCGCTCTCCTCCGCGCACTGATCGATCTCCTGGCCGTGTAAGTCCAGGTCCAGCCTCAGGGTGCCCCTGCAGCCAGCAGCAGCAACAGCAGACAAAGATCACCCATGTAGGCTTGCACAGACTGTTGAGTGCAAGTGCTGTCAGCGAGCACCTATTTAGGCCGCCACGGAACACGAGAAAGTGGTGTGGTGAGAGCATCGCCCGGACATCGTGCTCTCCCCAAGTGCTCGTGTTTACATTCGACAACAGACAACTCATTTAGGGCTGAGTCGACCTTAGGGGAGACACGGGAAGGGTTCAGATAACACTCACCACTGACGTGAGCCAAGCGCAGGAAATCAAACTCGGACTTGTGGGTTCTTAGCGCAGGAAAATACGCACCAATTTTAGGATGAATTTGAAAATGACATGGATTTAACAGACGAGGTGTCTCAGGCAAAACAAATGTTTTTTGTTGTTATATTCAATGAAAGGCACAATGCAAAGTGGCTAAGTAACGTATGGGTATAACTTGTGGAAGGTCCTCGCTCTGCCGACCAGTCACCGCATTTCAAGGGCCCAGATGTTGAATGTCTCCGTGTGTTTGATGAGGCCGGGAATGTTTCAACCAACACGAGGAGACGCCGTCGAGCGATCCTCACGGCAAGATGCCACGAGTAACTTCCTGCCACGACATCAGTTATTATGGTTTCCTGCTAAAACTAAAGGGTCAAGGCGCAGGCCTGCAATCGCCCGTTCTGGCCACTGCGGGTGGAAGATCCCCACTCTCGGGAGCCCCAGACGAGACCCTCTCGAGGGTGTGTTTGGCCTACTCTTCCGCGCCGGCCAGACATTTTGGAAGACAGGTTAGATCACCCACACTTTACCCCAACGTGCATGACCTGCCGATCACCAATGAACTCTGCTGCAGACGTTCATAATGCTGTGTAGACAGAGCGGGGGGGTTATTTAAGAAAGCTGCCCCATTGTGTCCACTGCCGGGCTGGGAGATCGAAGTGGTGACCTTCGGATTGCGAGTCTCGTACGTAACCATGGCAGCTTCCACATTACGCAAACAAAAATCTGCTAATCTGGCACTGCCAAAGCCTCAAGTGAAAGTGTCTTCAAGCTCAAACAAGCACAGCGCCCCCCCCAACCCCCCCCCCTCATGGCCGTGGTATAATTTCCACATTTCTATGAAAGGGGCCAGTCTCAAACAAAATACAACCACCTCTGACTTTCACCAAAGTTGTCGCCATTTTTATCAGTCCCACGAGGACGCAGGCCTGTGTCGAGTGCCGACCAGGATTCACACTTAAGGCCTTCCAATTGTGAGCAGTGAACTCTCAAACATCACTGCCCCGACCGGAACATGACAAACCACGAGCCGCTCCGTTTTTTGACAGCACCTCGGCGTGAAGTTTTGCCCACCGTCTGATGCATCCCAAGGTCACCAAATTAGAACAATGTCCCAGAACTGTCTTACCTGCACCCCGCATTACGTCTATTTTTGCTTCCACAGTACAATTCTCGATAATCGAATCATTAGTCACGGGAGAAATGCAGGCGCGATATGGCACTTTTCACCAGACCTTCATAAAGCACGCTCGCGAACGCACACGCACGCAGATTAATTTGCATTAATGGACAATTCACCTTTACGTAATGCAACTACGCCTAATAGGGTTACGTGGTATTTTGTTGTTTTACAGTAGCGCCGAACCCAGGGCTATTTCCGAATTATGAGCGCAGCGCCGAGAAGATCCTTACCCCAGATTGGCGCGCTGTGCGCCCCTGCTGCACGTGACGTTGCACACGGGCAGACGCACTCCGAGCAGCCCCTATCGGCGAGCCGCATTCCCCTTCCACGCTGTCCAAGCCGGAGCCAAAGCCATCCGCTTGATTTGCCCGTGGCAACGCGGGGGAGCCCATTAAGATCAGCGCGGCGAAACAAGAGCAAGAAGAAGAAGAATAAAAACTTCCCGCATATCCGTAGAGCGTCGAGGTGGCCGGGGTTTTGTTGTGAGATCCGCGGACACGTCTACCCACGCATGATGTATCGACACGTCCCGTCCCGCGGGAGAAACGGCGCTCGTAATTGATGCCCCTGCCGCCGCCACCGCCAGCGAGGGGGTCTGGAGGCGCTCGCTCACTCGCTCGCCACCGCGGGGCCCGCCGCGCTGCGCGGGCGGCCGCGCGATTCATCTGCCGATGGAGCCGCTCGTCGCGCGGGAGCGGTCACGGCCCGTGGGCTCTGGGCGGGGAGATGGAGCGAGCCGTGGATGGCGGCGGAGCGCATCGCTCGCTGCACGGCGCTATGTGCAGCTCGCTCACTGCACAGATCGCCGTGCAGTGAGCGAGCTGCACAGCGAATTCCGCACGTCGCTCGCCAATCTTTTTCGATTTTCAGAGCAAAAATGCCAAATAATGTCCCCATTCAGGCCCCCTCGGAGATGATGCCCAGGGCAAACTGTCCCACCTCCCCCCCCCCCGCCCGCCCCCGCTGCGCCCTCTCTACTGCTACGGCTGAGGGCTGCCCGCTCGCCACCTTGGGCCCGGCACTTTTAGTGGACGTCTCGCGGCTTTCATCTGATGGTCGGCCGAGCCGTTTGGGGTAAGGTTCAATCATCCCTCCCGCCGGTGAACCGCCTCTGCAAGGTGTGCGTGGTTTGGGAGCACAGCAGGTGGCTCTAATCGAGAAACCTGGGGGGTGGGAGGGGGTGGGGTGAGTGGAAGGAGACGAAATGTAATTTTACAAAAATATAATAAATTAATAAATATAAACCACCCGCTGCCTATCTCGTCGGAACCCAATTAGCCATATCTGGCTCAGGTCGATTAATGAGACAGGGAGGGAGGGAGGATTCGAGTGCCCGGTCCAAACTCGCTCCGCGGCGTGAGTCACGCTGCTGACAAGGCCTGAAGGGGGCGGGGGGAGGGGCGGGGGGGGGGCGATTTTGATCTCAGCGGCGATTTCTGAGATGTATTTTAATTCAGCATTTATCAGGAATCTCACGATTTGCTCCCCCCCCGGCGATTTGACAAATTGTCACATTCAGGTTTACAATACGCTTTGTCGTAATTATGGTCTCATTTGTATTGTTCAGTCTTCATTGGTGTATCGTGTTTTTCTGCGGTTTGTTGAAACGTTTCGACCCACCCCTACTGGACTTTTGTAGAATAAGAGCTTCACAGCTCATCGCATTCCTAAAGTATAAATCAATATTCTGATTCTGTATAATTAGCGTATGGATAGCATTGCGGTGGTTAAAGTGCCCAAGCCTCAAACCTGCTTGCCCCTCCGACTCACGACAACTGATGTCCTCTCATGTATTTTGGTCACTTTTCATCTCGCGCTGCATGGACCCTGGCGTGTGATGGCGATGGGCCGCACGGGCAGAATGTGTGCGCGTGTTCTACCCTCTCCACGTGTATGTGTGTGTTCTCACCGCAATCAATACGCCGCAAAATCACCATTGCCACCAGCACTGACATCTCCATTCACCATTCACCAGGACCTCACTGACGTACCTCCGCATCGCTTCAAGTCACGCAAGGTCCTTTTGGACTGACGCGCTTAACCTTAAACGATGCGAATTCAACCCCCGGTGAAGCTTGAGGAGCCGAATGGAGTTCAAAAGAACTCACAGACACCTCGCCGTGAAAGACCCAACACAGAAGAACCCTGGGGTTTGATCTTCCACGAAGCTCATGGTCCGCCCTTTAACGCATCCACTGCACAAACCACAGCAGCAGACGTGGATGCACAAATGGAATATTAAAACTCTCCAACATTGTGCGACTGCGGTCATCCAGAACAAAGAGTGCAACGTCATAACGACGCAACGCCCGATCCACAAATACGAAGGAGACATCACAGCGATACACAACTCCGCTGCTCCTGACGCGGTCGTCTGGCTTGACCACCTGAATGTGAAATTGTGGTTGTCGCTCTGCATCCACATCAGCCATAAGAAAGAAAGAAACTGCCATCTTCACCACCATCATCATCGTCGTCATCAATTCATCATTACGTTGCATTGATTCGTGCGTTTACAAATTATCAATATCCTAATCACCGAATCGACAAACCCATGAAACGCCCAACAATCCGCGCGTGCCACGCGTGGCCCTCGTGGCGAGACGGACACGCGCCGCCTCTTGGCAAGAGGCCCCGCGCCCTCCTGCCCCCCCCCCCCCCCCCCGTGGCCGCCTGTCACCGCTCGCTCGTCCGGGGGGTGTTTGCGCGCCGCCGGCCGGGGCGCCGAGGACGGTCCTCGTCACGCACCTGACAGCACAGGAGGCTCGGCTATTAATACTCCTGGGCTACAACAGCTCATCTCGTCCCCGCCAAAGTTTGACAGCTCCAACAGGCGCGCTTGCTTACACGGCGAGCGGTGGGGGTGAAGCAGGGGGGGGGGCGAAGTGTGGACGTCCCGTCTATCCAGCTCTTGCATCAATCAATCAAGGTGGCTGGGTCACGCTCATTAGGATTTGATTGTTTTTTCTGGATTCGTTAATCGCCGAGGGCGGCCTAGCCCGCGCTAAGCTCTCTCATGAAGACGCGTTAATCGTCTCGAGGTGATTTCTGACAGGAGAATCAACACGATTCACCTGTGGTCTACAGCACTCGTGCAGAGGCAGGTCAAATACCCATCCGCCGTGCTCTCAGACGTGGCGAGCGCTCAAGGTGTAAAGGTCGCAGGTGTGTGGCGGCTGGCCGATGTAAACATCTTTCTGGCATCGGACAAAATAAGTCAGCCCACCGCTACTTGTACATCGGTGTGTTAGCCTCCGCCAAAGGAATGTGGAATGTCCACCACAGGGCGAGCTCTTCCCAATTGGCCCTTGCCTGGTTAAATACACAAACGCCGAACCGTGAGAACAATGGCACGATCGCTGAGAATTGTTTTAGCACAGCTGGCTACGTACGGTGCGAAAGAAGTCCAACAAACATATATACAGTGCAGAGCCATCGTCTCTCTTTCCCGGCGCCGTGAGACTGTGGAGCTCCCGCCCACTGCCCCAGGGCCGCCAGGAGAGATGGGTGCTGCGACATTGCTAATTGGGAGCAGGGAGCCTCTGCG